ACCTGGGTCCTGGAGTGCCCTTTCATCCCTACAGGTGGTGCCAGAGCTCAGAAGTGAGGAACTTTTTAGAGCAGTCCTATACCTGTTCTGGGGATAAGCAAATTACTTCAGCTTTCACCACCTTCAGACCAAAACTTTTCAAGACTTACTTTTTCCTTTTCTTATTCTCTCTCCCTTTTAATTTTTTTTCTTGGATAAACAACCTAAAGTTTTGTTTGCTTAAGAAAACTTTCCAGTTGTAATTTTGCATTTATTTGGAAAACAAATGTGTACAAAGGATCAGAAAATATCTCCAGCAGCATTTGGAGCTTGAAGCCATGATGCATCTAAAAAATTCCTGCTTTCCTCTTACTTTCTCACTGACCCTGTAGAGACTTTTTGACAGAATGCAATCTGGCTTTAATAGTACTAAATGGCTTCCATTCTACTAGAGATTTGTTTGAGAAGGACTGGTCCTGAAAAACCCTGCTGTGAAATGCATGTTATTTGGTATGAGTTTCTTTTTTCTAGCTTCTCAATATTTTAGCACAGGTTAAAAAATACGACAGAACAGGGTGAATATGTGCACTCGGCCAAATAAGTTCATATTTTCTGTCAGTATCTGAGTCTTTCCTGTGTGGAAAAGTAAAAAAAGAAAGAGACAGGTATGAAAAATAAGCTGCATCCCTTGGCCACATGCAACAGACCCATTCACAGTAGGCTGTGCAGTTAGTTGTTACTGCCGAGCTTGCTTGGAAACTTTGCCCTAAGTCCTGAATTTAGTTGTCTTGTACATTTTCCATGTAGCTCGACTCCTTCTTGGTTAGTCAAGAAAATAATTGCAGGATGTCTCAAATCTGCCCTTCCCCCAGCATCTTGTATCATAAAATAACTCCAGGCGCAATATGTTATGCAAGTCTGTGATCATCTCTCTAATTTCTTATAAAAGATATGACCTCGTTATCAATGAAGATATTTTTAAAGTACTGATCATCTGAGTTAAAACCTCATGGAGAGAAATGCAAAATGCATTCTTATCTCTCTTAAAGCCCAACTCCACAATGGTTGCACTCAATTCAAATTCCATGTGGTTTTCTTTGCAACCAGAGCCAACTACACTACTTTTGGAGATGCACAAAATAAAAGCTGAAATTCTGTGGTGCAGCAAAATTCTTGAGAGGTTATGCTACAATATTTGAGGGTGTACTGACTTTACTAGCACCTGAGAATGAAATTTTTCTGCCAGGCACATATTTTTCAGGCTAATTCTAAAAATTTGAACTGTATAAATTATAAACCAGGGTGAGCTATTCAGCTGCATTTCAGGAGCATAACTTGAGCGGGTTATGAAGGAGAATGTAGTTGTCAGATCATGACACCTTCTGGTTTGTGTATTATCCACTGTACTTCTGATCAGTCAGGAAGACATTTCATTCCCAATGCTCAATATGGACTGCAATAGGAGTATAATCAATACACTTCCACATTTTACATTTATTCTCTTTCTTTTTTCTTTCCCTTTTTTTGTTGTCTTCAGCCTGAAAGAAAGGTTTCTTCAGGTAAAGGTACAGCTATATGTGTATATTTTGCTCTTTATGTACCTAACAAGAGAGCATTTATGCTCTAAGAAGACAGAAGATCTGCAGCCCCCTCCTTTCTTTTACCTTTGATGTTTTCAAGAAGTGACTGAAATATCAATGTGTTTACTGAACACAGAGGTGAAGTAACTGGTTTTAGGATGGCTTACAAGAACCCCCTCCATGGAAGAGGACGAGCTCCAGGGCACATATAAATATGCAATATATACATGTAGCCATCCTCCCAGCCAGAAGAAATGCTTGTGTTTAACAAGCACATTTCATATGCAACCTGGTTTAGCTTCTGCTGCACTAACAACTCCTGCAATTAAGCTATGCTGGTAGCCAATTAACTCACTTTTTTTTCATACTGAAGGAGCAAACATAGGCAGGTATTTAACCCCTTTTGTGCCCTTGGGCCATCAGCATGCCTAACATGTGGGAGACTGTAATTGTAAATCCTCACAGATAGTTTTTCTTCTGTTATATTAGGAGGTGACAAAATGAAGCAGCATGATTGAATATTGAAAAGGCTGGAAAACTTTACGGGTATTGCTACTGCTAATAGCCACCTTATGTTTAAGTGAAATCTTTGCATGGGAGGATCTAAAAACTTCCCAATATGCATATAAGGATAATTTCACTTATCACTGAACTTCTCTGAGGCAGCCCTAGTGCGTGAAACTCAGTGAAAATCCTTAGTACTACTCTATAACCTGTACATCAAGACATATGCTGTGATGGGGAGGTGATACTGTGTGGTCTTCCCCAGGTTATAAGCCACTAATTGTCATCAGAGTTGTCATCTAAAGGTATTTTATTCTTCCTTTGTTCTTCCTGAGTATGGGCATCTTGATGTCAATTTTTCTAAAGCTATAGAATTTTAGAATTATAGAATTCTATAGCTATATATATTTTATTTTATTTTTTTACTCCCATCTTCAGTACATTCAGTTTCAACATATCATCCCATACGTAGCTACCTATACCAAATGTTGGACTAGGTGCTGTTTTCATGCACTCTCATTTCCATTTAAAATCCTACTGGAAAATTTTGAAATATCCTTTTTTTATGTGTGTGAATAGAGCCTTTAATGCTTGAGGTTAAATGAATGGTGTAGTTTTTGGCTAGATGTCAAAGACTTAACAGAACTTGTACTATAGTCTTCTCACAGGAAAAAACAAATAGTTTTACACTGAGGTATTTGGAAACAGGTGTGCTGAACAATTACAGAATGTTACAGCTCTTGGAGGCAGCCCTCCAAGAAATTAGGTCTGAAAATGTATGGCAACACTATCACATTGATAAAATTTCCACTTCCAAATTTCCTCCGCTGGATAGGAGAAAACCTGAGTGGAGCACAAGGAGATGTGATCACTATTATGTCAGGGTATGAAGCAGCCAGAGTTGCTGCCAACAGGTCTGAAAGGAAAACAATAGAAAAGCTTCTTTTGGGGTGTGGTTTGGAACAAGAGATCAGCACTGACCGCTCCCACTCCCAGAGCCACCACCCCGCCTGGAGCAGCAAAATGCCCTCCTTCGTTCAGCAAAGTGCTTGATGGAGCCATCACCACTCATTTAGTATGTAGCTACACAGATCTACAAACTGAGCAGCAACTCTTTTTGCTGATTCTCCTCTTTCCTAAGCACCCCATCCACATTCCCATTTTACCATATTTCCATCTCCTTTCCATTCTCTGCTGAAAATCCACTCTTCCATGTTTCTCCTTTTTGGTTATGATCTAAGTTAGAAAAACTCTTTCATAGAAGTTGTAAAGCCAAGATTTCACTCCGACCTCTTGATTTCTTGAAAATATCCAGGAACAAAAGCAAGCATTTCAAAGTTGTTATAGATCCACAAAAAATGAATGCAGCCTTTAAATCACCCCCTGAAATATGCTCCTGCTTTTACAAAAATTATTTGTGTCCCCAGGAACATAACAAATCTTTACCAGGATCTCCTAACTTCCTTTGCACTTTTGTACTTTGAGAAAAACATTGTCAGAAACTAATTGATCTTGTCCATCAATTCTGATTTATCTTCACAAGGTGATCCCACTTCTCCACCCCACAAATCCACCACTTTATGTGTGCAGTGCTTTCATGTGGCGTAGAAGGGAATTCCTCCCTGACTCTCTCAACCTTCAGGTTATGGCCCTATCATTATTTTAGTATCTGTAGCTATACATTTTATTACTGGTCACAAAATAATTCCTCTCCATTTTCAAATTCAGCCACTCTGTTTGACTCTGTGCCCTCCCATTGCAGTGGATCCCAGAGACAATTCTCTGTCTTTGCCAAGGCCACAGTGGAATGTTTAACGTCGAAGGATGAAAACACATTATCTGATCTTTGATGTTTAAAGAGAGGGGAGAGACCTCAGGACCTTTCTGCATATTATACAGTGCAACACATTTGTATGCTCTTGGCAGAGCTGGCATGTCATATTCAAGGTCAGCTCTGCTCCACAATCTGGTCAAGTAACCTCCCTCCCCAGGTTTTCATATTTCAATTGCAAACCAAGTTGCTAAAATGGGAAGCTGAGCTAAATCAAATGAGCAAATAGAACCAAATCCTAATACTTTGTCCTGCTGCTGTGTTTCTCTGAAAAGATGACCTTAATAGCACCCTACATGCATGGACCAGAAAGAGTGGTGGGAAAGGTGGGCCGATGCCCTCCCTCAGCCCCAGAGCTCAGAAATGCACATAGTCACATAAGATGGGGCAAGAAGTAATTTTACTTTACAACCTAAGACTGCATCATCTGCCACTTGAAACACCTAAGAGACAGAAAAATAAAAATTTCAGAAGTATCCATGATCCTGTTTGGGCTTGTCAAGGGAAAGGATGCTCCCACCAAAGACTGGTAAGATTTCCTGATCTTATTATGGCTTCTAAAGGGGCAGAGTCTTCCTAATCATTGCTTTATATTGTGAATTCTTATCAGAGGGTGTTGAAAGAAAAGTATATTTTTCTTGAGAAGACCATCCTTTATTTCTAAAATAAACCAAAACGTAAGAGTACTGTCCTGTTTTGTGCTAACTAAATGGCTTTAGACATTATTTCTTTAAAATAAAAATAATAAAAAAAAAGTTTAGCTCTCAATCAAATGATATCCACCTACTGTGTTTGGTAGTTCCTCTTTTTGGATCTGCCATTCCAGCCAACCTCACATTCAGCTGGAAAAGTGCCCACCAGGTTTAGATTTCCCACTGATTTTGTTGGCAGTGATCACAGAATATTCCTAGCTGGAAGGGACTCATAGGGATCATCAAAGCCTAACTCCTGGCCCTGGAAAGGGCAGCCTCAAGAATCACACCAAGTGATCAATTATGTGATGAATTGTTAATTTCTTTTGCGTTATTGGAGGGATGGAAACTTAGTGAAAATGGAAACTCAGTAACAACCATGTATACATACACAAATATACACACACACATAAGTTCTGTTGCACCAGTTCTTTAGCAATCTTTGTTGTATGTAAATGTAAGTCATTATAATCCCCATACAAAATTAATTACAGTCAGAAATTCCCACATTTGTATTTTCAGAGGGTTACCAGATAGGATTTTAATTTGGCTCTACTGTCTTTTCAAAATAAAAGCTCTTTCTCTAACATTTATGAGGCCTCTAAGATTAATTGCATTCATCTTTATCAAGTCTTGAAACTGGCTGATATATTTAAATGAGCTAAAATTAAAAGGTTTGAGGCAACTGAAGTCTCTTCAATAAACTGAAGAAAATTTTCCAAAAGACTATGGAAGCAGTGTTGACCAAATCTGTAAAGAACAAAGATTTTAAACTAATGAGTTGCCAAGTGGATCCTTTTCTTAATTATTCTTCCTTCCAAAGAATTAGTGAGTGAAAGGCTTAAAGAAGATGAAGTGAAATTTGCATGTTACCCACAGTTTATAAATAAGACTTAAACTATTCTTTCATTTGGCCCATGACAATTCCATTATATATCCTGCCATATTCTAATATCTTTGTCTCACCTTTCTGTGGCTCTCCACTCCCAAGAGATGTGATTTGGACTACTGGAGCAGACCTGGAATGTGCTTCAGCCTATAAAAAAGATGAAGTACATTGGTACTCTTCTCCACTTGTTTTTTTTGGGAGGTTTTTTTGGTTTTTGGTTTGGTTGGTTTGTTGGCTGGTTGGTTTTAGGGGTTTTTTTAATAATTGTTCTTGGCTTTCATGCTTAAATGTTGTAGGTATTTTAAGGTGTACACTTGGAAATGGTAGTCAGGGATGGTGGGTTCAGCTCTGAGCTCTGTCACAGCATCAGGAGAGGATGGGTGGAGGTGGCTGCTCTCCCTGGGGCCTAACCCCTCTGAAACAAGTCACCACCAAGATGTGGTTTGTGGACTCCTGAGGCTCAGAGAAATACAAATATAATGTCAGGCTGTACCAAAAGCAGCACCACCACTAGGAAGTTGCTGGAGGACTCTGATCAGAGACAGATTGTCATGTAGGTCAGTGAAAAGATCAGCAAAAGAAAATACCCTCTTGTGGAATGAATGGCCTTTTATGCCTGAATACTTCAATTTTTCTGCATCTGAATTCCCAGCCAGAAAAAGAGATGAAGTAGTGGGAATGCTGGGGATGTTTTCCACTTTTTCTTCTCTTTTTATTTTATAAACCAATAAGCCCACATATTCTTTCTACAGTTTCTTCTATCTCTGCAGGCAATGTTGCTCTTTTATCTGCTGTTATGAGGAGCATTGAAACAGTGAACACTGGTGATTACTCCTCCCTTCAGGGTTCAGATCTCCAAGCCATAATCCATGGGTCTGAGCAGGGAGAGAAGCTCTGGCCCATACCATGTGTTGGAACTCTGGGGTCAGATTGTGACAAGATACCAATAATTTAAAATAAATGCAAAATTTTGAGACACTCAGAGTTCATTTCTTCATTGTCCCAGACTCTTCTCCCAAGTGAATCTAGGGCTAGAACACAGCTGGGCCTAAAGGGCCAAGATTTACAGGTCTTTATCAACCCACTCATTAGAGGCAAGGAACTAACATTTCATCTCAGAGCTCAATATTGCTGTTTTCTACCACACAGTGTGGTCCATAGATGTGCCCAGGAAATTCGTCTGGTTCCATAGAACCAGGAGACATAAAAGAGTAGCTTTAATTTAAATCTGTGACAAATTCACACAAGAGCTGAGTTTCTCTAATGGCTGGAATGAGGAGGTACAAGCTATGGCAGTTCTAGGCAGATTCTTATTTTGACAGAAGCAATGACTCACTGTGTGACCACGGACAAACCGTTCAATTTTCTTATGCTTTAGTCAACAAAACTATAAAATTATTAAAGACAAAAAAAGAAAAACATAAAGTCCCCAGATTTCACTGAAAAACAAATCCTCCTCTGAGCTCAGCTGGTGAATAAATGACAAAAACAACAAGATGAAATATTGGGTGTAACCCACAGCTTTGCCAAATATACCACAAAAATATGGAGAGGTAGAGAGGAAGAAAAGGCAGAGGGAAAAAAAGAACAGCAGGCACACTGAAATGCCCCACAGCACATGAAATCATATGAACAGAAACAAGTCCAACAAAAGAGAGTATGGATGCCCACAGGGTGGTGAGTAGGAGGATGCATTCCAAAGAAAAACAGCAATCAAATGATCTAATGCGCTTTTCATCACAAAGCAGCCTTTAAAACTAGACAGTGGTTGTCTCATCCTTTCATGGGGTGCAGTGTGACAATTATTTAAATGTGTCTGGAAACAATGCCAATCAGGCTTTATCCCAGCTAATGTGTGAGGGTTTGTCCAATGGGAGAAACCTGGGTGCCTAGAAGCCACCAATGCTAATCAGTGATGGTGTCCCATTTAAATCTACTCTGTGACACCTTCATTGCCAGGGCCACATGAGGAAACCAGGGGAGCTTAAGCATCGCTCACACTGAGCAGGTCCTTGGAAAGAAAGCAGGAGGAGGATGCCTCAGTTCTGGCTGCAGTACCCGAGTGGCTGTAATGGAGTGAGAACATGAAACAAGCAGGAAAACAATGAATAGCGGAAAAGTCAAAGTTAGGCCTGCAGCAGAAGAGAGGCTACAAAGGTATCTTCAAAGGGTTTTCTGGGGGATAAAAAAAGGAACAGACAACATAAATATTAATGAACCAGAAACAATATTGAAAAACAACCTATTATCCTTACTCAGATCAAAAGAACATGAAGATTAACACCTCAGACATCAGACCCCTGCAACAGGAGAGTGGGTTTAGCAGCAATTCTGCTTCTCCCATCTTCCTTTGTTTTTGTGACTAGGACCAGGCAATGCGGGGATAGGTTTGTTTTGAGGAGCAAGTGAGACTACAGCTGCATAGCAGAAGGTTAAAAAAAAAGGTATTAAAACTGAGAAAAGACTCAGTAAAATCTCAATTAGCATGGGAAGAAGGTGAAAATGAAAATTATATGGGCCCCAGTGCAAAGACAAGATTGCCTTTCCTTGCTTGAGGGGAGTGCTGGAGAACTCAGGGAAAGATGTGGAATTACTTGCACACTCCTCACTAAACAGCCAAAAGGCTTCCTGGTGGCTGCCAATCTCCTGTCCCGTCTTCCCTCCACAGAGCCTTCTTCTCCTACAAGCCTGTGAGGCTGCCAGGCCTTGCAAGAAAAAGAGAGGCCCATAGTGCTTCACACTGAAAAGGCATTTTTGTCTGAAAATCAGAGCCATTCTCTGCTGGGGATTGTATACATTTGCAATGGGAATGGCTCCATGATCAGACAAGTTTTTTCCATGTTTAATTTCTTTCATAGATATAATAGCAATCTGACCAAATTAGATTTTTGCTTAGCAATTTTCCACAGTACAAACTGTTATTTAGGGACTCCTACCTGGTACATGAAATTCTTCCTGCACAGCTAAGGCATTTATGATAATGAAAGAAGAGCTACTCTAGAAGGGGTTACAGTGAAGGAAATGTACCTTTATGATGGCAACAGAGGCACATTCATTCTCTGACACAGACTTCATAACAAAAATCCTTCTTTCTAGACACCTATCATCACTTAGCAGCTCACATTTGCTCAGGGCATTGAACTTCACAACATCTTCCTCATTTTCTGCACTCATTTTCATACATGCATCGATGAAAAAATAGGGTCAAAACATAAAGTTAGAATTGAGCACATTTTTCATCCTATGATGCTTCAGAAATTATACAATCTGAAAACAAACTTAGGTTTGCCACAGATGGGACTGGACAAAATTTTTGCCTTCTTGAGTGCAACAGAAGTTTTTGCTTATGGGAAAGACTTTATTTTATGTGCAGGATTGTTTAGGTAAGAAGTATTTGTCTTATTTTTGCTACCCCCATTTTCATCACTCCAGACATTTAAAAGCTTACTCAGACTTTTCCCAGCTTTGATAGGAAAAGAGTCACTGGTCACAAGGTAGAACATAGGAAATTTCAGATAGATTTGAGGAAGAGCTCTTTCAAGATGAAAGCATGCAGCCACTGGAGCAACAGGCCAGGCAAACTGTGAGGCCTCCATCTCCTGAGACATTAAAAACTCTTTTGGGCGCACCCCGAAGCAGCCTTATCTAAATAGAAGTGTTTGAAGCAGGACACTGGGCTAGATGAACTCTGGAGGTCCCTTCCACTCCAAACTGTTGTGTGGATCTGCATGCAGGAAGTGTGGTAACTTACCACATAACTGCACTGTGTGGATTCTATCCCTGCCCTTACTAGTCTTCAGACATTACTAATAACAGTGGTAAATAATAAGAATAAAGCCAGAGCTGATTAATAAAATTGGAACCACTTGCAGGAAGATGCAGACTTCGGTTCAAAATGTTATTTTGCACCATAGAAATGCTGTGTAGAAGTGCTTAAAGACTCATCATTTAACTAGACCCTCATATATTTTGCTGAAACTATGAATGGGTGTTGTGAAACCTACTCCAAACTTTTCTTTTTGCACAACAATAAGGTCATAAAAAGCTTTGGTTTGCCATCAAGAAAGTGGATCAAGTTCTGGGTTGAGCTTTACCTTCAGCATCAGTAGTGATCAAATTTCATAGACAGTGAGGAGGGACAGGACCTGTTCCAGTGCTTTTCAGTCTTGTAAAGCTTCTTCCTCTTCAGACTGAGTGGGAAATTTTTGCATGAACAGACTGATGCCTGACATTTCTAATGATTGTTGGTTAGGCCAGATTTGAAATACCAAAGCCTTTTTTGTAGTATTTTTGTATTTCTATTTCATATTCTCCCCCTCTCCAGATTTTCTTACCTTCTTTTTTCATATAATCACCCTCTGCCTCACTCCTAAGAAGGTAAGAAAGAAAGATTTAGGAATTTGCATTACTGTGTAGATGGGAGGAATTAGCAAACAGTTTTTAATTTCCCATTCCTGCTGCAATCAAGACTGTTCTAGTTTTATACACAAAATCAGCAGAAGCCATTTTCCAGTCTCTCCTATACCAGTAGGTAGGTTTCATATGCCTCCTGAAAGCCACTCAAACCACTAAAGTTTTCATGAATTAACCAGTCAAGAATCACTATTTATTCCATTGTGTTTAAAGCAAAAATATATAGAAAGTGGTTAAGTGTATGATGGAAAATAATGAAAAAAGATTCAAGCTTAAAATGAGTTACAACAGATCATTGTTTCCTAAAGTCTGAGACATATCCCCTTGTGGGGCATGAAGAGCTAACAAAGGGTCACAGAAGATGAATACTTTATAATGGGTGTGTATTTAACAACGTGGTAATTCAGCAGGAGAGGAAAATGTTTTTTTCTTAATGCAGCAGGGCTTGGTTTTCAAAAGTTTAGGAAACAATATGGTACATCATGGTCTGAGGCAGTATGTTGCTCCCAGCCCATGGTTCAGGGAGGCTATTTCTATAGCAGTTTCAGAAAATTTTTGTCCCTAATGGAGGTTCCCATGATCACTGAATAATACAGAATAACAGTACAAAAATGTAACCCCAGTCCTCTGACAAAACACACAGCTACTTTCTGAGCTACCTGTGAAGTGAGAAGGGGGAAAAAAAAAAAAAGAAAAAAAAAAAAAAAAGAGAGTGGTTTAAAAGACAGATGGGAGGGATGATTTCTTAACATTCTAAATGGAATAGGAATTCTTCCCAGACTTCAGCGCATCCATTACTCAAGTGATGCAGCTCACTTAAAAAGTCCAACCGCAATTCCTCTGACTCCCAGGCTGTGGTTTCAGAATGGGCCCAGAGGTTAAATGAGCCAGCCCTTACAGCTCATGCTTGAAACTCAGCAGCACTGAAATTCCTCCTTAAAGGCTGCATTCAAACAGGGGCTCAGACCCATTAAGGAAGGGCTGTTTCTATGCTGTTGTTCAGGAAAGCACCATTGCTCTCCAGTGCAAACTGTATTTCTGTATAAAATATGTTGTATCCTCCTGACATTAGTCAGGAGTCAGAGTTTTCAGCTGCCTCCTTAGAATGTATTTTTGAGAGCACCCATCCACAAATCAACTAAAAAAAATGATCAGGTTTTCAACACAAGCAAGAGAACAGTGCAAAGTTTTCTCTCAAACAAGGCCAAAAGTCTCACAAGGACTGGAGACAAAAGAGTTCTGATGAAAAATGTGGGTCCACTTGTGGGCATCAACCCTAGACAGTCTGGCACTCCAGTGCATTAAGAATATTCTCTCTTTTGTCCCTCCTATCTATAAGCCTCCAGCCTCACTAGCAAAGACCATAAGCTTGAACTTAAAAAAATTAAAGTTAACATTTACTTACACTTACCAAGTTCTGTGTCAGATATGTGGAGACGCTTAAGTGTAACACAAATTTCATTCATCCTACTACCATGAAAAGAGATCCTTCTATTCTTTATTGTTATCCTAACCCAGGTGTAATTTTCTGTAACTCCTATAGCTGGTCTATAAACTGCACAGATAATTCAGCTTAACAGATGCCAGCTCAGCCAGCCTAGCTCGTTAAGAGAAACAAGTCCCTGGACATGATAACAATAGGACAGATTCAAACCCAAACAGGGGACCTCAGCCAATTCCTTTGAAGTGCAGGTGCACCCATATCATTGGCCAGTGAGCTGGGTGGAGTTGAGACCTTTGACCAATGATGTCTGTAAGCATGGGAAATTGAAAGTCTTATAAAAGGAGCCACCCAACAATAAAATTTAGCTGTTGCTGCATGATCTTGGTGTTTTTACGTCGCATCTCTGTCTCCGACATCAGCGACAATTTTCAAAGCTCCTAAGTCATTTATGGTGTCGGAAATGTAAAGGCCAAATTGTGTCGGTCATTTATTTCTGAAGAGAAAAGCTAGTCAATTCCTAGTTGAATTTAGTCCAATATAACAGTTGCAAAATATGTTCTATTGGCTGTTAGTACTCTCTGAGGATCTACCATGTGGTCAATATTTTGAGGTTTCTTCTTTCAGCTATGAAATACTTCACTAAAAGTTAACTTTCAATTAAAAATAGAGACATGTAATTTAGGTCAGCGACTAGACTGAGATTAAGAAGACTGGAGTTTTGTTTTTGGTTGCACAAATGATCTCTTGTGTGGTCTAGGACAAGACACCTTCTCTTTGTCTGGCTTATTTTGCTTGCCTTTTGCTGCCTTTTGCCTAGTTGAATAAAGAACCTTCAGTGAAGTAAGTCATGTCTGACCAATTTCACTGCTTCCCACAATAAAATGGCTGGAATTGTGGAAAAGTACAGAGGAGTAGATGTCATTTACCTTGACTTCAGCAAGACCTTAAGCACTGTCTCCTACAGTACATTTGTATTCAAGTTGAAATGCCACAGCTAGAAAGCATGGACAACTTGTTGGCTAAAAAATACGTTGGATGTTCAAGGCTCAGAAGGTTATGAGCAATGGGTCATCCTCTGACTGAGTGCCTGAAATGAGATCTGGACTGTTTAACAACTTTATTAATGTCATGTTGGACTGACAGTGCAGATGCTGTGTATCTGCAAACTGAGTCTCATTCAGCTCATTTCATTGCACACACATTGAATATGTGAGTAGGTCACAACACACTTGAGAAACCACCCTCACCAGGATAGAGTTAAGAGGCTTTGCTCTGCCATGTACCTCTGTGCCCTCACTATCTCCTGACAGAATATTCAGGGAAGTAGCTCCAATTCCTTCCTGAGAGCTGTTCTGTGTTATTAAGAAGCTAAAATATTGCAAGGTGCTTAAATAATCACTGTGCCGAAGAACAGGAGCAAGCTGTGGAGAAAAAGGCTCTTTAGCCAGATGGCTGAGGGATCTGCATTCCTGCAGCTCCAGACAACCTCTAAGAGAAAAAAAGAAGAGACACACACACAGGGCTGATACCCAGGTGAAGCAGAAGTGCTTGCAGGATACAGAGGTTCACATCACATGCGGAAGGAAACCTGACTTCTTCCTACTGTGTTGTGGGCACAAAGATGCCCTTGGGAAGAGCCTTTTGCCTCTGCAAATCCTGGTTCTCTGTCCCCGTGCTAAGGGCACACAATAAGATGGGGGGTCACTTCTCAGTTAATAGTCATGTATATGTATACAGCATTCCCCATACCAGCTTCTAGGTAAAAAGCTGTCACCTCTGAAAACCTGGCAAATCCCAGTCCTTTATTTCCTTTACTTTTCCTCCTCATGCTTTAAAATGAACATTTTTGTTTTGGATGAAATGGAATGTATGTTTGCATTTTACACTAAATAAATGTTTTCAGATTTCCATTTTGGCAAGAAAAACAAAAAACAAAGTTCCATTTGGTTTGACTCTAACTTATTTTTTTCCTCCCTCTTTTTTAGTTTCGGCACTCTAGCTGAAAAAATCACAATTATTCTCACAGCCTTAGTCACACGTTTTCCAGGCAGTGCCTGAAATGTTTCCTTTCAAATCTTTGCAAGCATTTTATAGGTTGTCATTTCACTGCTGCTTCAAGAACAAGAGACTGCAATTCTTCCAAGTGAACAGCTTCGATGACTTTCCTGACTGATGCAAATGTGTTACACTGTTGACAAATACTAACCATGAGAGATGACTTGGCTATAGCTGTTTGCTGTAACTGGTATTTCCCCTGAAAATTCTCTCTTCTCCCTTCCCCCCCACCACCTCCGTCAAATAGAGCATTCTGTTTTAACAAGTTAGGGTTTAATAAATATTTTTGTATGCCTTATCTTTTATCTAGACAAATAATAACTAATTTGTTTACGTATAGTTTGTGACTTAAATGGCTATAAATTATTCCCTGATGAAAGGCCAGGCACTGAGTGCATGTTGAGACCAGTATATCTCCTACCATTAAAACACACTGAAACACATGGACAGGGTAACATGGATATTTCAGCTATAACTCTGCATATCTTAATTTCAGAGAAGAAACAGTGAATGCTTTTGATACCCCAAGAATGTCAGTGTTCAAGAGACACAGTGTTTGGACAATGCCATTAATATGCTTTAGCTTGATCAGCCCTGAAGTGGTCAGGCAGATAGAATAGATGATCCCTGTAGGTCCCTTCCAACTGAAACAGTCCATTCTATTTATTTCCTTAAGCATTGCCAACAGCTGTAGCCCACAAAGAGCCATGTAGTTCCCAGCCTGAGGAATTTGAAATCTAAATTAACATGGCAAAATGTGAAGAGATGCAGTGGATTGCAGAGACAAAAGTCTCAAGCTGTACTAAATGCAATTCTGCCCCTGCTCCCTGGACAAATGCTTGCTGGGGGAAATGCATCTATACTTATGGACCCAAGTCCTGAACCAACTCCTTAAAAAACACAGATTAATAAAAAATTAATGGTAGCAATTTGGTCACTGTGGTTTAGCTGCCACAGTTAGTGCTAACAGGCTTCAAGAGGGGCATATCTGGTGAATCTCAACTCTGAGTCCATGTTCAGAAGTGATTCTCAGTCACATAAAAATTACTACAAGGGAAAGAATTAAAACAACAAATAAATTACTTTTTTAGAACTACTAATCCACATGGATTAACAGCCATAACTCAATTTTAGAGACATGACTGCATTTTCATAACACATGCAGACACACAAAATAGACATCAGGATATTTGGGCTCAGTTAAATATTTAACTAAGATCAAAATAAAATTAAAATAGTTTCTGTATTTCATATTTGTGTTTTTAATTGACTGGAAAATGGAAATAAGACATTGAAATACTGTGTTAATATCTATGCTATCTCCAATGGCTACACAAAGATTTGCTTCTGATTTTAAAGTTTCTCAGCTCAAGAAGATGTAGATTTTCTTGGCAACAGCTGCTGTGTAAAATATTCTGAGATAGAATTTTTTATCATAATTAATAATAGATGAAAATTTCTGCGTTTTTGATGTTCTAAACTCTATGCTGTTTGATTTACGATGTCTTTATAGTTGTTTTTCTAGTAATTCTATGCCTCTTTCTGTTGGTATAAGGGTGGTAGTCTCTTTTATTTCCCTAGTGGAGTTGGTACGGTACTCTTTTCTTCCTTCTCTCACCTTCTTTTTCTGTAAATATATTTCATAAAGTTCTCCCTTCTTCCATAATGAGACTGATTCCTATGTTCTCTAAGTTTGTTGCTGTGGAATTTTTCTTTCTATTTTTTCCTTTTTTTTTTTTAACTCTGCACAGAGCAGTAATAAAACCATGTTGGGGGCTATTGAAGCAAGGAGCATGTTCTGCCCATATTCTCTCTAATGAATATTTCAAACCAGATGGTGACTGAAGGGGTGCAGTTTGGTTTGGTGGCTGGGGTTTTTTGGCTTGCATTATGATTCTTTCCTTTGGTATTGAGGCTTTAGGGATGTGTGCTTTGCAAAATTTACTGGATCGGGCTCCGTGATTGGTATTTTATGCAAAGCTGGATACAGATGCCTACAGGTATTACTGGGTGAGCAAGACCCAGCTCTTGTGACAGTGCACCTTTCATAGCTGGGGTGCTATTGATAGATGCAGTTAAAGGTGTAAAAGAGGTTCAGGAAATTTTTTTGTGTTTTGAATAAGCCTGACCAGTTGTTGATATGTGAGACTAATAAAAAAACAACAAAGGAATCAGGAATTTTCTTCAGAACTGTATTGATATGAGAAGTAGTAATGGGTTCAAACTGAAAGAGGAGAAATTTAGGTTAAAAATTCTTCCCTGTGAGGGTGGTGAGGCCCTGGCACAGGTTGCCCAGAGAAGCTGTAGATGTGCTATCCCTGGAAGTGGTCTAGGCCAAGTTGGATGGGGTTGGAGCAACCTAGGATAGTGTAAAATGTCCCTGCCAGAAAGGGGTGTGAGGGGAGTGGAAAGGGATGATCTTTAAGGTCTTTTCTATACCAAACTATTCTATCATATTATAATTCTAGGAATAAAGCAGCTTCAGGGGAAAGTGTTAGATAGAATTGGGAGGCTCTGACTTACTGCAAAGCAGCTCAGACAAGTTCAGCCCACTGAGGACAGCCTGGGCAGGGTGGGTATTCATAAATGCAGGGAATTTTTATTTATAAATAAGCAAAAAACCTCCCTCCGAATCAATTCCAAACAAAAATAAAAAATACCCTCTGTGGTCCTTTCTCAGCTTTATTGCAGCATGGAAGCTCATAAAATTTCACTAGAGATGCTACTGCTGTAAGTGCAAGGTAGGAGTAAGAAATTTCATCTTTTCTCCTGCACTGCCTGCTTCCCTGCTCCAGTGCCCAGCAAGTTTAAAAGGCCATGTCCATCCTTACTCTGTAACACCCTTTAGGCAGCATTTGTGCATCATGACTGCAAATTACCTCAGAAGCATCTGCAGTAGCATCACTGTTGGATAGCTCATTCTTGCTATATATCCATACAAAAGAATAAGCTTTGCCCCATATATAATTCAGCTTCTGTGGTCTGGGTTTTCTTTTTTTCTGTAAATAGTATATATTTTCCCATACTGCAAAGTGCCATATGGGTGTACTCATGGTAGTGTGGCTTTTTCTACTGACTGCATTTTTATTTGTAACACTGCACTTTCCATAAAAGACTTTGGCAAAGGCAATGGAGAATCATAGCTTAAATATAATAAT